AAGGATAATAGCGCGTTCGTTCCCCACCATAGACACCTGCGGTTCAGAGTTTTGCAAATATCTCAGCAACGTTGTGGTTGTATTTCGCTTAGTAACCTGCCATGAAAATTATAGAAGGCAGAAAACAAAACGTTAAATAAAGGTCTGAAGTTCTTAACTCCTTATTTATTTTCCTGGTCCAGATATGATCGTCGGTTGTCGAAAAATCAGTTTCCAGCGTCACCTATTAAATAACCAAAGAGCACCTCAATTTATCTTTGAACTACTTTAATCGATTTTTCTTGAATCATAGATGATTAACCTTTTTTGTCAGAATTAATTTAAGTCTTATAAATTTCTCCCACACGGTCTGTTCCGCCTGTCATTTCCACTATGAAAATACGGTAAGGATTTTTTTTCTATGAATGCTGTCCACACAATGTGTTGAAGTTCACCGAACAGAACATTCAACATGTCGATGTCTACGTCGTTAAGAAATTTGCTGCTCATGCAGTTGTTCTTCTGATTCCTATCTCTAAGTAGTAAAGCTTTGACAAGGAAAAATGGGGTCATCTCGTCGAAAATCTACATGAAGTACTTCTCCATGAGCACTACATTACCAGCTTCAACGAAAATTTGTGAATGGATCAATGCTTTCCACCTTTATCGGCCAGTGTCATTATGGTACTCTTTTGATAGCACCGATGATAAATCCGACGAAGGAGGAGCTGAGAAAGAAGCGTAACCATTTCAGCTTTCCTAAAAAGCTGTGGCGTGAGTAATACAACAACAGTGATGCTGTACAAATCTGAGTTCAGGAAATCGGCACCACACTTGTCTGGAAATAACTCACTTGCTTCAATCCACAAAAAGCTGATGATTGCCTATGGTGATCATTTGGAATGACCCTAACATGGCTAAAGAATTCTAGGGTAAATCGACTCGACTAGGATTCAGAGATATTCCGAGGGAAAGAAACAGTTGGAAGGCTTTCATACCTTCGTAGAGAGCGGAAGTGAGAGAACAAATCGATTGCAACAAATGATAAGATCCGAGCAATGTAAGGTGTTGAGTCGTGTGAAATGAATCAATAAATAAGCGAAACTACTATTCAGCTCGATAAACACGATAATCGTGCTCATCAAACCGAACGCAGATAATTCCGATGATCAACTTCCTATTAGGCTCGGAGCTGGATTAGAAGTGCTTCGTTTTCCTTCTCAGCAATTGCGAGGTTGTTATACAGCACACCTTTACTTCCGTTCAAAAATAGACACAGATGTTTCAAAACCGACTTTCATTTAACCTCAGTATGACTGGTCAATATGTATTCTTTCTTTGATAAGCTTTATTGCTAGCTGGTATTGATACCAAGTTTTGCAGGATGGATTGTCCTAAAAAACCCGTTGTTGTTGCTGGACAATCATTACTATCAACAGCCAGTATTCTGTATGAAACAGCACCTCCGGCTAAATCTGCCTTATTCGAGGGATGCTCCACTGAGGCAGATCTGGCTTGAGACGAAGATGAAAACGGCTCATCGAAAAGACGAACAACCGTGGACCATCGACTCGGATCACCGGCTCTCATGAAGACGAAGGCGTTGAAACGTTAGTCGAATAAAGATTATATATCAACCTCGTGTTAGCTTATGAAAGAAAGAATACATATTGAATACGGAGAGTCAAGTCTTCGTGAATTACCAGAACTTTCCAAGCGAAACAGTGATAAACCATATCATGGAAAGAAGAGACCGTAAATGAACGGCCAAGACTGGGCCTTTAAAAGAACAAGGTGTTTTCGAGAGGGACTACCAAAGTTATGTGACTGAAACTATCTATTCTTTGTCGTATCCAATCACAAACGCTGTGAACTCATATTTGTGCACCATTGTTTGCTCTCTATGATCACGGTGTTTTTCATCACCAATATAAAAAGATCGAGAAGAATCGTTCAAGAATTGTAAACCTTTATCAGAGAATCACATAACATATGGGCAGAATCGGAGTTAGATTACCCAGGCTTTTGTTTGAAGTGAGAAATCTTCGAGAGAAATCCGTCGTAGTAACTCTTCAGAGCTAATGTCGGCATCCGATTCGTTAACTACCTTCCGTTTTCGTCCCGTGTCAGATAATCATAGCTTGCTCGTCCTCACTTAACAATGTCGCTGCAGAGATATGGTGTCCTTAGATATCACAATATTACTTGCTCTCATTTTCTCTTCAATCTCTAAATATTTCTATTAGTCCTAACATATGAAGTTTTACCACGTCTTCGTAGCTAGAAGGTATTCCTGAAATCGAACTGAGATTTATGGCCGGGGTTCATCCGTTTTCATCTAGTAGCTCAGATTAGATTGAACTAGTGCTTAGAATCATTGCCATCCTAGCAACAACATGGTCACCAACAGGGAAGGCCGAGGTGATGGAACTGTAAAACAGTTTCCAAGACTCAATGGAAAGCAGATCTTGCGCAAATAGCAAACTACTTGGCAATAAGAAATTGTATTAGGGGCCGCACGATTATTCGTGAATTGTGAAGGTGGACCACTGAAGCATCAAGGATTAAGTGTCTCGTCTAGCTCCTTGATAGTAGCACTTGACAATGTTGGTAATGAAACATTTTTATCTAACCCTGCACATCTTTCTACTCATCTAATCAGATTTATTAAAGCGTAAATAAATCGTTCGGTGTAAGCCCTTGAGGAGCGCCCTATGCATTCTATTCCACTTATGGCATATCTGGCGTCGAAATTGACTTGATTGATCTACCAATGGACTGCGCTAGTGTTATGAAGTCTTGTACTAATTTTCCTGTCCTAGGAAGGTTAGGCTTCCCCAGTGCGTGATCCAACAACGGAATGACATCTGTTGCTGTAGTGGGACCTAATAAACAAATAGTTGTGTTCATTTACTAGGCCCTCCCTTCTTGACTTTTCCATTCGAATATGGCCTTTTTAAAGAGCTCTCCACTATCTCGCACAATGAGGATATTTTTACTCTAAATAAGTGATTGAAGGAAATTTTAGCCGAAAAGAATGATGATCTCTTACAATGTTTACTTTTTATTTTCTGCCTTCTATAGTTTTACGGCAGGACATTAAGCGAAATACAACCACAATATTGCTAAGATATTTGCAAAACTCCGGACCGCAGGTGTCTGCGGTTGGGAACGAATGCGTCCGTCCTTTCCGTGGAGTAACGCACTCACCACCACACCATGCGGATCTTTCGTTTCGCCTGTCTCTCAGCTAGTTCTATCGATCACTGCCATCAGCAATCACCTGTCAGCGAGATTGATCTAGGGAGCCCACATCGGCATTGAACCCAGTTAAGCTGAGGCTGTAGTTGAATTCATAATGTTTACCTTTTATTTTCTGCCGTCTATAATTTTTATGCAGGATATTAAGCCAAGTACAACCACAATATTGCTTAGATATTTGCAAAACTATAGATCCTATCGCTTCTGAACTCTCGTTTTTGTATTGCAGTTCGTGTCAACAAAGCTCAAAAAAGACTTAGCTCAGTGGATTAGGAAATCTAAATTCTCCCAGAAGTAATCACCTGTTGACATCGAAGAGTAGTAGTGCGTAGTTCTCATCATATAAGTCGTTAGTCACAGGATGAACACAGTGTTTGTTACTCCAGTGTGAGTCACGACGTCGTGAGTACTAAGAAAGCAAGAGACAGATGGCTACATGCAGAGCCAACACTATTGGTATATCATTTTTAAATTCCTGTTTCTGGAAATTGGAACTATTTTCTTTAGTTAAGTGGAATCCATGTTGATGTGACCTTTCTAGGTGTTGTAGAAACAGGCAATTTCCACCATAACGTCAGCCATTTTGGAACCATCATTGAAATATTAACTTAGCGTTACCTTGTCAATGTCGAAGTCAATGCAGTACTGGATTCCTGGAAACGCTGATTGCTTGCTTTACTATAATGCCTTCTAAACGCTTGATTAGCATCGTCACTATGGTGACTATGTTGTCGATCATCTTGCTTGGTCACGCATCCCATATGGAAAACCATGAGGCCCCATAGTTATTACATTTTTTATTCTTTCATTTATATCAATTTTATTCAAACAGCTACGATTGCACTTTCCACCTATTTAATGTCGAGCATGAAAGCGTTCGAAGTCGATGATGTGGAATCCGATGCGACACGTTGCTAGGTTCTCATCGGAATTTCCGACGTTGTCTGTTTTTCTGAGCACGAACGTTTAACCTCATTGCCTAGTTGACACAGCTGCCCGATGAGGGAAGAGGCTTAAAATAAAGCAGTATACTTATTTTTTGAGAGGTTTAATTCTTCCACGAAGTCAAGAAGTCAATCTTTTCATCCAAGATCCAACAGTTCTTTATTATGAAAGTTTGCTGTTTACCTCTGCTGAATGTATTGTCGTACTTACATTTTCATCATTATTAAGGAATTGGTCGTCAACAAAGATGATTCCTACGCCCTATTGTGTTTTAAGCAAATTTCCAATTTGAGTGCCATTCATGTGAGGGATAAAGCATAAGGATCCTGAAAGAGGTGGGGGTGAGGAGTGTAAGTGGCTAATGATGCAGTTCATCAGCAGAAAGCGTGGTGCTGGTTTGACCCTCACCGGTGATTCACGTGGAATACATTAGCTCGGTGATCCCCAGATTTAAAATAGAATGAACTCGATCAGCATTCTACAACATTCATAAAAAGGCGAAACCCTGAAGCCGTAGTCGAAATAGCTTAGGAAATCCTCGGAGACCATTGTGGACGGTGAACGCAAGGAAAACAAATCGGATGCAGGATGTGTTGGGATCCGCACAGGTGTAATGCCGGCCCATGTAAAATGCAAAGAGAGATTATTTGAAGGAATTGTTTTGATATTTCTGTGTTGAACTTTCATAAAACATAACTCTTCAGTGCTAGACCTCATGTCTGCTTATTTTTATCTCATCGTGTATTCATACTGCTTAGGAGTTCCGTTTAACATTGAAAGCAACCATAACTTTCGCACAACACGCATTAAAATCAATGCACATCATCGCGATCGCTTTAAATGCTTGTCTGATATGCCTTGTGGCTGCAAACTCCGGATCTTCTGCATCGACAAGTTCTTCCATTCGTACTCAAGTAATTTGACCTTTTTCGAATGCTTGAATGAAAAATTTTCACCCGATCACCATCTGTTTAACGATTTCTGAACATCTTATGGCGTTACATTAGGGCATCTCATTAACAGAATTTAATGGGAGAAGGGGATAACTATACTCTCTGCGAGAGTTACTTCATTCGCCCTACGTCGAAGCTTCATTGTTCGTTTTATGTGCTTATTTAACAAAATAAATACATTGATGGCTACCTACAATGTGGAATTATATTTGGGCTTTTCGATGACCCATGTTCATAAATGAATGTACGGCCCTTAGCCTGGTTGTAATTTGTCCGTTGTGTCTTGTCTGTTGTTTGGACGGATTTTTTTTTCTCTGGAACCTTGAGAAGCTCGTACAAATACGTTTCTGGTTTCTACGAGGTTAATTCCGGGCAATTAAACCATGTAGCACATTCGCGCCTACGTGAATTGATATGAATGCATGTGTGGGGGAAATAACTCGGCTTTTCAACTTTATAAAGCGTATCTTAGTTGGCAGTGAACTTAATCAGTCAATGTAAATACCACCACAATTTACAGAACAAGCTATAGCAGCTCTTATTCTATGCTCATTAAATTCCGAATTTCTGAAGTCAGAAGCCCTCATTTTTTGCTTCTTTTCATCGAAGTTCCTCTTTCGAAAGGGGAAGCGAGCAAATAAGTGGGAATTCGTCGAGTTGGACGCGACGATGCCCACTGCTTTTCATTGCCGACGGCATTTGTCGCGCTTCCGTGAGAAAGTCCTGCAATTGCCTCATTGCAGTGATACTTTTTTAACTCATAGCTCCAGAAGGCTTAAAAAAGATAATCACATTTTAGAGATATCATATCACATCCTCTAATGTTAATGTGATGGGACGAAGTTTATTCCGTAATTCTCCAGCATTCTCAGATTCTCAAGCACTTGGACTAAATTTCTTATGTAGATCTCACAAGCCTTTAGCATCTCAAGTATTCCAGCTTAAGCTCTTATGTAGTTCAGTCTGTCAAGTCCTCAAGTACTCGAGCTTAATGTTTTCTATAAATCTCTCAAGCCCATAGATTCTCAAGTGCTCTACCTAAATCTCTACTTCAAGTGTTGAAAATTGGCCGTTATCCAAAATCCAGTATCATCAGGTGTTAAATCCTAAGTCTATCAAATCACTTGGTGTACCTGTGTGTTTTTTTTCAAACGAAGACCATTATTCAATTGCTCATTAGTGCTTTAGGCTTTTAAACCTGCAATCCTCTCGAATTTTTGAACTCTTTTCTAGTAAATTATTGAATGACCGGATCTACTGGAATATTATAATGCTGAGATATTTGCAAAACTCCGGACCACAGGTGTCTGCGGTGGGGAACGAACGTGCTATTGTCCTTTCCGGAGAGTGACGCGTTCACCACCACACCATATGGGTCATTCGTTTCGCCTGTCTCTCAGATAGTTCTATCGATTAAGTTATAAATCTTAAATCTATATCTAATCTTCTCTTTATCTATCTTTATCTTATCTTAATCTTATCACAATCTTAACCTTTTTATTTACTATTCTTTTTTTAATCGATAGAACTAGCTGAGAGACAGGCGGAACGAAGGACCCGCATGGTGTGGTGGTGAACGCGTTACTCCCCGGAAAGGACAGTAGCGCGTTCGTTCCTTACCGCAGACACCTGCGGTCCGGAGTTTTGCAAATATCCCAGCGTCATTAGAGTTATATTTCGCAAAATACTCTGCCGTTAAAAAAAGAATAGGCAGTAAATAAAAAAGCTACTGGATTAAGTTCCGTTTAAAAAACAGTTTTAAAAAATAAAGTCGCTTTTCCAATGTTACGAAAGAAACCTGAGTTTTTCTAGATCTATACGGGACGCAGAGCACTCTGAAATCCTTTCCATTCTTTAGCCGTCAAAAACGTGGACACTGTTCTGCAAAATTCGGTGTCCAAGGGAATTTCGAACCCACGACTCCCTTTACGATGGATCACGCGTTACCCACTGTACCATAGAGGACCTTGATTTGCCTCTCTATCAGCCAGTCTACCCTAATGATGCTATCAGGAGTTACCCGTCAACCGTAATGGTCTACTTAACACAAATCGCATTGAACTCAGAGAAGCTGAATCTGTGGTCAAAATCATACTGTTTAACTTTGACGTTAACAATTTGCCTATTAAACGAAGAAGGTAGTGATTCTTTTTGCCGAGGTTTAATGAAAGTCGGTCTGAAAAATATCGATTCGCTATGCCCTAGCCAATATCACGCCGACTGCTGCAGAATGCATTGCCGTCAACAATCTAGATGATATTCGATGGCGGCAATGTATCAGCATACGTCCTATATAAGAATGCACCGTCGAGTGATTTTCCTCATTCGATCGGTGCTTCACTTCAATGGATTCGACTGCATGCGACGGCGAACAAACCAACTACATAGCAAGGATGATCAGCTGTAGATCAGCAACTTGGTTCATCGGCTCTGAAGAAGAGGAAGTCGAGGCATCAGCGGAATAAGTGTTTGGTAACAATGTCATGTTATTTTTGATATATTTATTTATGTGATCTTATAAACTGATCTTCTTAAGCTGACGCGAGGTTGGTACAGATCTTCGTTGTTTTTGATGTTGTTGGTCGATGGCTGAGGTTTCGGCGACTTCGCCTTCCTCAGAGCCTGGACGTACTTTATGTTAGAATACTTTTTATTATTCGGTGGAAACGAAGGTTAAAGTGTTAATGAAGATGAAACTTTCAAATAGACGCCATATTGAACAGAAAGGCCACTCACCGTGATGTTACGTGCGGGACTGGCCCACACGTAGTTCACGCGAGCAAGACAAGCCCCTGGGTCAAAATATCATTTTGAAATAGGGCGCCAAGTCACGCGTGATAGTGAGGCATTCGTCCTTCGGGTTCATCTTTGGATTTTTGAAATTTATCCAAAACGCCTCAAGAGTTTTGCGCGTTGATGTTTTTTGATTCCTGCGCTAGGATCCGCACATTCACTTCAAAATCATCGCCGTTGTGCTTTTGTGCCCTATGCGTACCTAGAAGGGTGTTTAAACGAATTTTAGCTTTCCCATCTAGATGTTCTTTTATGCGGACACAAAGTGGTCTACCCTTTTCCCCGATATATTCCTCGTCGCATGCATTACATGAGATCAAGTATATTATACCTAAACTCATGCAATCCCGGTCTCTCCCGTTAGGACAAATCATACAGTTTTCTGAGTTGCACAAACGATCATAGAGATGGTTTCGAACTAACTGGCGGCGTAGGGTATTGGGTGGGATGTCAATAATCGTTACATAATTTTCAGGACCGCTTTTGCCTAAGCACTTTTTAATGGCGTGACTTACTTCATTTGTTACGAAGAGTAGCTTAAAGGGGATCTTACTTACGTCCGAAATATTATTTTGGGAAACTACTCAACGTTTTCCTCTAACCCGAGTGGCTTCTACTTCGTAGCCATTGGAAATGGCAATTTTTCGTGCCAGGCTTCGCGATTCCTTCCTTTCCTCTTTTCCTGTACACACATTTTTAGCCGTACGATACATATTTTTGATAAGTGCTTTTTTCATGTGTGAAGGATGAGAGGAGAGGCAGTGGACTAGAATGTTTTTACTACTTGGCTTGCGATACCATTTTGTTAAATAGCCACTTACTGAGAGCTTTATTTGGATGTTTAAGAATGGAAGCCAGTTCTCGGTAGGTTTTTCTCGTGTAAATTTTATATACTCTGACTGTCGGTTTAAGAATTCAAAGCACTCATCCATCTGTTCTTGTGTGGAACAGACGATGAAGCAGTCGTCTATATATCGACAGTAGAGTAAGGGTCGGTGATCGAGAACTGGAGCTTCCACCTTAGACATGAAAGCGATGGCAAGGCTTGGTGCTAAACGCTGCCCCATCGCCAACCTTCTAATTTGTGCAAAATATTTGTCTCATGTTAGCTTATCGATAAAGTAAGGTACATTGATCACTTATACCGAAGTGTAATGAAATTTGGTCTACAGTGATAGTATTTCGCTTTGTTCAAGCTTGTCTGATACCGACTTCTGCAGGATGAATTGAAAAAAAGGGACAAAGCTCTCGGCGTTGATCAATCCGTGAGGGATACGCCATGCATTCAAATTCATTAAGTATCGTTGGAGGTGATTGAATGCATATCTGGCGTTTACAATGACTCGTGGTGGCCTACCGATGTATGGAGCCAGTGCTCCTATCCTCCCAGACAAGTCTGGTATCAATTTACTGACCCCAGAGCGATGGAAGGCTTGGTGGGATGGATTCCACGTGTGTGTTGCAGGGCGCCTCCGACCACTGCGCCACACGCGCAGCATGGACTATCCGTTGAAAAAGAATATATCGACGGTTAGTTATATCAACAGTAATCGTTTTTTACAAAAAAGCGTTGCTGGGTGACAGTGCCTCATTGGAGCGGTGCTCTACTGAAGAAGATCCGACTCGGTGCGACGACGAAGACATCAAATCGTGAAGACGAGCGGTTGTAGACCATCGACTGGGATCAACGACTCTGATGCAGACGAAGATGTCGAATCGTTAGCCGAATAAAGTTTATTTTGTCATTATCGTGTTAGCCCATCAATGAAAGAGGATACATTGATTATTCATGCCGAGGTTGAGGAAAAGTCGGCTTGTGAAATCATAGTGACACCGTTTCATTGTGATATCTGTATTAGTTGGTCAGTGGAATATAGGCTTCCAGTCAGTTTTGGGCACCGAATAATCACTAACTTGAATTTGGAATAGAATGAATTTTGAACAGAATAGTCGATTTTCTATGAGTTTACCACGAGGGAGTTTCTGACGTTGCGAAGAGCACAGTTTGAAGCTTAAGTTATAACCGTTAGCAGTAGGAGTGCAGTATTAACGATGTGACTATACCCAGAATGGAAATGAGTACAAGGACCAAAGCGATGGTAAAGATTGTACGAACAATAGTTGAGCGAACTAGTAGAGATTGCTTATAATCTCCCTTAAATTCGTTCTGTAATGGGCGGAGTTTCGACATATGCTCAAAGCGAGATCTAGAAAGTTTCTTGGTTAGTTCGATCCGATAGAGCTGCACAGAAAGTTCGCGAAGGCTAGACAAAAGCAGACAGAGAAAGTAGATGTGACAGCAGTGCAGTAGCTTATACAAAAAGTTGACTGGAACGACAGATGTTCGAAGGCGTATGTAGCTGACAGCTGCTCATTCAGTGTCGGAACTGTTGAACAAAGGAAAAGAGTTCTTGCAAAGAAGTTACAGAATCTCTATTTGGTGCGAGGGAGGTGCATGAGATGGCCACTAAGAAGCAATTTGCAGAAACTGTAAGGATAAATAAATGTGGTTACCACATAGCATAGTTACAAAGATGGTACTTTACATAGTTACAAAGGTAGCACTTACATGCTTGGGCATTTGGATGGCCTGTCTTCACCGGTTGTGCTAACTCCAGCACAAGTTCCTTCCTCTGAACATTTGCTCGTTTAGTCATTGTGGCTCTCTGTAGTCTTGAGGTCAGTCTAACCGAACCTTTCTCAGATAGTCACCACCACGGGCAGTCACCGTTCTTGTGGATCAAAGCGAGATTTTCACCATGCGATTACTTTGATACAAGGGCCATGGTGATTGCTAGTATTGTTTTTCCTTTCCGCTGTGGGCTTCCGGTTGGAAAATTCGGAGTCCTTCTCAGCTTGGGAGCCCATGCCATGGGATGAATGTTCTGCTATAGATCGTAGTCCGATCCTCAGGAACACCTCCCGGCTACAAGGTGCTAAACCGTTGGGATGTGTGCAAAAATGGCAACATGTGGTAACATCGAAAATAGGAACTATTCGGGAGTCCCACCCGTTACGACACGGTTCTGAGGAAGACGAAATCGCCAAAACGTCAGCCGTCGACAAACAACAACAACAACAACAACAATGACAACCATGCCAACTTTGCATCGGCTCAACAAGATCAGTTCATAATAAGATGTGAATAAATATTCGGGAATAGCTAATGTATCAGTTCTATTCACTACTTAAACTTAATCAATATGCAACTTCATATGTATCGATCGTTCAATAAGTCTATTATATGTACATCGACTTGACTGGATTTTATTTTTTTTTTTACATGACCGAACGTGCAGACATTGTCATACCAGAGCAATGTTTTCGTTGAATACGTTTAGCCATATCAATAATTTATGAAGATGATCGGATTTGCATGTGGTTGGGAAGCTGGCTGAAGTATTTTAGTTTTCTTCATGAATTTCGTTGAATGGGGATCGAATCAGTTCCTCTTCAAATCCTAGGATATTCGTGCTGTGGCGCTTCTAGATCTCATGAATCGGTGAGAACTTCCCAGACAATTCGGTTGTCAATTTCCTGACCATGCAGAATGTGAGAGTTGGTTGGCCTAAGGCGGAGTCGAACCATTGCCTTGCCCCCTGAATGGCATCACTACCACTGCCAATACTGGCACCATTTGACCGGATTATTTATTGAAATGTCAAGCAAACAGTTTTCTTTTCTTTTTGTTTGTTTAACAGCCATGTGAATATCTGCCATATCTCGTGCAATATCACTTTTAGCCCACTCAAGCTCGATTTGAAATCTTGCAAGTATGAAAAACAGACTTCAAATTTACAGCATAGTATGGTCGTCGATTTGAAACAAGAACTGAGCGTTATCGACTACTTTGGCGCCTTGGTAGTATGGGTGATGTTCTTCACGATTCTTTTCATTGTCTCTGCTACTTGTATCAACTGGTGTTGCATTCAGAAGCATGACGACATAACAGTGCTTGAAGAGGTGAATAATTTCCATTATCATTAATTATATTTTATTCGTTAACTGTATCACGTTTATGCTTTATGCAAGAAGAAACTATGAATCTAACTCGATCAGGGATCAACGCTCATTTCCGATACTCCTTATCGGATTAACTAATTAGATGAACATCTGCCTGAAGGCAAAATGTTTAAACCGGTTTGAAAACGGTGTAGGAGAAGTGTGTCTCCTATCAGATATCAATTAGATTTTTAAAATTAGAAATTTTCCAACTATATTTCTTTTCCAGAACTTTCACGAAAGCTGCATGAGTTGCGTACAGCCGCTTCATTCACCTCCATGATTAACCGTTTCATAACTGAGAGTGTGCTTTAATCGTGAACTCCTATGGGTAGTAGAGGTTCATCCCGTTACCCTACCTAGTTCGCTTAATATGAGAAGGAGCTGCATTTCTGAGCCCAGCTGAGTGCTAATCTACGATGCAATGGAACCCGTCAAGGCACTCGTGGCTAGCTTTTCGCCAAACCAATCAAAAATACTGCGTATTGTCACACTAAAGGTGTTGTGGTTTTCCTGTCGCCTGAGCGAATGAAACCAACTGAGCTGCTTTGGGTACAATGGATGTTAAGAGGGTTCGTTGGTGACTGCCCGAATTAATCGAAGATTAACGGGCTCTTCCTGCCTCATGAATGAGTGGAGCTCATTTGTTAGCACTGGTACGTGAGAAAGATGAATGAAGCTTGGTGGTGTCTGCTCGAATTACACAATTAACTGGATTATGGATGACATACGACACCGCTTCATTTCCTGAACGTGGGATATCGTTAAACTAAGAAGCTGTTCTGGAATTCCACAAAACTCCTATTGTATTGTTACATTACGGCAAATCTAGTGATATCATTCAAATGCGCCTCGCTTATGATACTAGAGCTATCAACGGATGAACAACTTGCAGCTTTAGTAATGCCTAGCGCGGATGCGAAACTGCTGTAGGAATAGCTGACATTTTGATTCCATGAAATTGGTCAGATTCAGCATAACTACAGTAAGATGCATTGGCGAGTAATCTATGTTCATTTTTTCTACTCAGCACAAGCCACTTAACACATTCGCGACGCGGGACATTTAGTCACCCTGCTGCTTGGGGCGGCACCCAATTTTCAGCCGTTAGGGGAAAGCTGGTTATCGAAAAAGAGACTATAGTTTTTCGATAACTAGAAAACTTGACCGGCTATGAACTTGATAGAGACTGTAGAAAAGGCTTTGCTCTATCGCCATGTCGATGTGAATGGTTTATATGCTGCTATTTACTTATATTTTATTGCGGTCCATCGAGCATCTTGCTATCGATAGAATTATCTGAGAGACAGGAGGAACGAAGGGGTCGAACGGTGTGGTGGTAAACTTGTTACTCCCCGGAAAGGACAATTGCGCGTTCGTTCCCCACTGCAGACAACTGTTTTGCAAATTATGCTATGTCCATCTCTGTATTTTTGATGGCCATCCGATGACTAGGATTGTTTGTTTGCAAGTGAAATAACAGTCGTTTTTAGTCAAATAGTAGTCAAAGAGCTTGTTCGAAAAAGCTGTTTGGTGCATTTTTGTGCGTAGAATGGATGTTCTCCCGGCCGAAGCATACTGCAACGTGTGTGTTTGATAGTCTATCGATTGACTACAGTAATATTAGGAAAAGGCAATATTAACTAAATTCTTCGAAGCATTCTCGATAAATTTCATGAATCCAGAAGTGGACCGCATGCAGGAATGTCTCATTAACACACAATGTCTCAGACATATTTCGACGTGCGAGAGGTCCATTACCCGTCCTTGTGAGCTCTTTACTGTTGGTTTCCACGTGTAATACTCACTGGAGGATGTATAGATAACGATGACTGTGTGAAGAAACTGCTTTGTTTCCAATTGTGGTTCTCCAGAGATGATTGGCTAAATGGATTGCAGCAAACTTGACCTCTTCAGGCTCCGAAAAAGGCGAAATCCACCGAAACGTCAGCTGTTGCGAATAATGTACGATGTACGATAACAACCTGATGTGTAGCACAACCGCAACTATGCTGAGATATTTGTAAAACTCCGGGCCGCAGGTGTCTGCGGTGAGGAACGAACGCGCTATTGTCCTTTTCGGGGAGTGACGCGTTCACCACCACATCATGCGGACCCTTCGTTTCGCCTGTCTCTCAGCTATTTCTATCGATCAGTGCCGTCAGCAATCACCCGTCAACGGGATTGGACTTCTTATTTTAAATTTATAAAAGTAAAACATTGTGAAATCAACTACAGCCTCAGCTTAACTGGGTTCAGTACCGATGTGAGCTCCCCAGATCAGTCCCGTTGACGGGTGATTGCTGATGGCAGTGATCGATAGGACTAGCTGAGAGACAGGCGAAACGAAGGATCCGCATGGTGCGGTGATGAACGCGTTAACTCCCGGAAATGGCAACAGCGTGTTCGGTACCCGCCACAGACACCAGCGGTCCGAAGTTTTGCAAATATCTCAGTATCGTTATGGTTACGGTGATGATGCTTTTTCAAACCAATCGTGATTTATCCTGGGCATTAATAATCAGTATCTTCTTAGATTATTAAGCTAACCCAAGGTTTATGCACAACTTTATTCAGACGAGGACGTGGAAACGTTAGCCGAAAAACTTGTTCGTCAAGTTCGTGTTAGCTTAATATTCCAAGATGGTGGTGATGATAGTGTTCATCATATGTTGCAAAATAATGATGATGAAAACCAACAAAGACAACGAAACCTTTTTGAATAGTGCGACATGTGGACGGCATGACTTCACAGTTAACTTCATTTCCAGCCCTCTCCTATCCCGTTCCTTCCATTTTCTCTCTACTGCTGTCCATTTTCTTAGTTTTCTTTGAGTGTGATCCGTTTTCTCCGCGAATTTCTGCCACTCTTCTTGAAATCATAGTCAGTCACAAGTAAAGCTGCTTGTGAATGTGGACATAAAGTCATTCCGTCACTCTGTTGACCTACGTTGACGTTCTACGTGACCACAAAATACCACCTCAAAATGTTTCTCCCATCCATCTACTCTCAATGTCTTTCGCATCCTATGATTTCCGATCTATTCTTCGCCTTAAAAGTGATCTTATTAACTCGTGCTATCGATGCGACTAAGAAGATCCACATCGTAGGAATAAACGGCTGTGGACAATCGACTCGGATCATTTCGGTTCTGAAGAAGGCAAAAACGTCCAAACGTTTGCCTCAACAAAAGTTTACACGACAGCATCGTGTAAGATTAACAACGAAAAATGTACGCCGACTATCCATACCGAGGTTAAATGGGAGCGGGCTCACAAAAACTGTCTAAAAATGCTAGCTTTACGTTGTGCCGGTTCCACTTCACTTCTCATCGTACATGTACGCAATTAGTAATTAGTTCATAAAGTTACCTTTGTGGTTGAAGTTAACCCACTAGTGAGCCATTGATAAGCCACTTGAGAAGCTGTTAAAGCGAGCGTGTAAGCTCGGGGATTTAGATCCATGTGTTGATCCTGGGCTTCATTTAGACCATGTTGCTTTTAAATTTTGTTGAGGTTTCGCTCCACCTCTTTGAGTAGGTTGCAATAAATGTAGTTTAAATTACCAAGTATTTATTTTTATTTTTTATCGAACCAAACTCTATGTATCATGATTTTGATTTTCCTCCAAAATTTTTCGAATAGAAGGCTGTGTAATTGATGAACAGCGTAACAACTTCCAATGGGGTTCTGTTCGTTCCTGTAGTGGAACATAGCTACTCAATTGGCCTTGGTAACTGGAGGGACACAATAGGAGTTACAATCTCTATACAATTTTTTTTCTGTTTTGTGGAAAATGTAGGAAAAGGGAGCTCCGTGGGATCCTCCGTGATACTGATTTATCCTTAGCTAGGATTCTGAGTGTGAATATTGAACTGCTTTTGAACTTGAAAAGCGCTGTCGAAAAGTAGACACTTCCTATGCTCGCTGTCTCAGATCCCAAAAACTACTGCTTCCTTATACGATTAACAGTGAACCATTGGTGGGGAATAGACAGCCCGTCAATATAAGGGTACAATATCATTTTTCTATTCATTTGAGAGAAAGTGTTACTTCTCGATATCGAGTATGACATATGTACCTTAGTTGTTCTGTGCTGTCGTTCAACTCCTATTTTTCATTGCCGTAATTTTTCTTACGATTTTGTAAAATTATTCCAGCACTGTAAGCTGCTCACCTTCACGGCGATAGTTTACATCTTAGTGAATATAATTGATAGGATGCTCCTCAGTGTTACTTACTAATTTCTAGTGTTTCTATTTCAGTGGGGATATCACCATAAGGTAAACATGCGTATGGGACCGCATCGACCGTCAATGGTAGCCCGAAATATTCTTCAGGATAAGAACAGCGACGACGAAAAGGAATGACGAGACCTTCGTCCACGTTTCATAGGCTTTTTCAACATGTTCATTCGCTTTCCATTAGTTCATAGATAGATAGATTTGAGTGTGTTGTTGTGTTTCAATGATTTAGTCGGCTTGTAAAACGTGCTAGATGTTTTCCGCAGTTTATTGCTACTATTAAATTTGTATACTCTACTTTACTTTGTACTACACTAATAGATCTCATTAATTGTTACCATAAGAGGATCCAGATAACAAAAGACCTACTACCATATTGATAGTGCAAGGAGGATAATCCAATAAAGTTTGCGAATTGTTCGAAAATTCTAGCATTCTCGTTTTGACTATAATGTAATCCTATGCTGTCCTCTATACCACTGCCACGCAATCACCTGTATCACCTGTCGCCTCGTTTATTGCCGAGTGACCCGAATGGGCGCTAGTAAACGATCTATTGCTCTCTCTCACTTGCAAGAGTAGCCCAGTGACAGTGGGTTCTGCTCGCTCTAGGGACTCGTCGAGCATTATATCATTATCATCATCTTCTAGGCTTTTCGTGAAGAACTCTGACGATCTGGTCGGTGGTGTTCTTGCAGCGCGTTTGATATCGTGAAGAATCCATGCACTAACGGTTTTTGTCCACCGGTCGCCCTTCACACGCATTGCGTATCCAGCTCACCATATTTGCGACATTTTAGCGTATAGAATGGCGTCTTCGGTCTTTGACCGTTGATATAGGTGTCCCATCTCAACCTCGTAAACACAGAGAGTATGTGCCAATTCGGAGTAGAACAAATAGAGAGTCCAACCTTGGATGCACCTGCATCCCGGAAAGGTGTAAGCAGCTTTTGTTTCTCGATTCACCCCCGTGGACACGCCATGTTGCCTCGCGACTAGCCGATGAGGATCACTCTTTGAGGGAGACTCGTCCAATAACTTAATTTTTTTTATAACATAAAGCCTTCGGTGTCGATCAATTTCTTAGGGATCTGCCCTGCATTAGACTCCATTCATTGCATTCTATAGGTGATCGAATGCGTATTTGGCCTGTAGTATGACTTTTGGGTATTGAACAATGCAACAACTTATAATTTCTATTAAAGCAGATAAATTTGTGATAATTTGCTGACTCCAGACGGTCAGAGGGCTTGGTATGTTTAGGTTGCGTGGACGAACCAATATGACCATGTGTATTGTAAGGGGCTTTTATCAAAATTCTCACAATATGATGAAACTCTACAAATTGTCTAAAATAGCTTCATTTAAAGATTTTCCCTACAAGCCATTTGAGGTCGAGACACTCTCGGTTTTTCTTTTCGAACTCTTCGAATAACAACGCCCATAGCTCATCAACAAGATGCCGTGCTGTACTACCAGCACTTGCTGTTCGCTGGAGTTACGGTGTTTCCCATTATGGAACGGTTTGTTTCCAATTTTTTTCAGTTTTTCCGAGATACCAAGTCTCCTATCGATTTTTAAGAGTTACGCATGAACTCCTGTTTTCCTTACTACACTTCCGTAGCACTTAAGCACTGCGATATCGAAATGAAAAGTTATGTGTAAGTAAATCACCTTCCATTGCGCTCTACTACAACATCAAAATATATGCGGGGAGATCTTATACCTAAAAAGCTAGTTTTTACAGTTTTTAAAACAACTGCGGAAAAACGACAGTTATGTCCGCTCCAGTCGTTTTGAGAGGTTTCTTTAGTTCTTAAGTTCACCCACACACTTTCGTGTACGACCACTTTGTCTAATGTTGAGGTACAGAACCACAACACCAGTACGCGACCAATGACATTTTCGCGTTATTTGCTGTGCTCCATCACAATAAGAATCGTGTGGATTGGATGATATAACGCCTCTTGGATCAGAACTCCCCCCCCCCCCCCCCCCCCAGGTGACAGCGGCGAGCGATTGCGCTGCGCCATTAGACCATGAAGTCGTGCGCTAATAGTTCCCAGGATCGACTTTCTCTTAACCTCGGCATTGGAATATAAATGTGTCGTTTTCTTGTTCAGCAATCGCGAGGTTGTTAAACAGCGTACATTTACTTCCATAGAAAAACACAATACGATAAAACACTAGCTGACGTTTCGGCAATATCACCTTCAGAGGCTGAAAGGGCATGCTGATATACAATCTACTAGGCCAAACGCTTCAATAACACTTACAAAAAGACGAAAGACTCTTTGGTAATTAAATGATTAACAACTTCTCGAAAAAACCCACCGCTTTTTCGTGACTTCCAATGAGGAAGTTTAGAACAGCTGATTATAGTCGCATGTGGTTGACGACTACACCATCCCACATCAAAAATCGATGCGAACGTACGGGATCAGGTCGCGTATGACCTCCGGGCATTCGTCCCTGCTATTCATTGTAGGGTTTTTGGCATTGATCCAAAAAGCCTCAAGGAGTTTTCGCGCTGGTCTTTTGGACTCCTGTGCGAAGATATTGACTTTTACTTCAAAATCGTCTCCGCTATGCTTTTGTATCCTATGCGTGCCTAGTGGGGTGCTTCGTCTTAG